AAGCCCCAAAAAACAGCTTTAAAGCCCCCAAAACAGGTTTAAAACTCCCCCAAAACACCTTTAAAAGTCACAAAACAGCTTTAAAGCCCCCGAAAACAGCTTTAACCCTTGTATTGTCTTCACTTTTGGGACCCTCTGGTATCCCTCGGGTCAAATTGACCCGTGACATATATGGGGCTTTAAAAACCATTGTGAAATAAAATTTTACTTCATAATCTATTTAAAAATATTGTCTTTATCTACATTTCAAACAATTGAGATAACATATATGTTTAGGGAATGCAATCAGTCTCTCCTGGAACACAATTAACAACAGAAGTGTTATTCGTTTTTTTGTCATAAGGTTATAATTCATGTTAAAAATCCACTATGTGATCATGCTTATCTTGGAAAAGATTAAGTGGGACAATGTTTTCATTGACATTTATTACTTTGAATGCAAACTCTCAATACATAAACTGGAACTTCAGCAATCAATAACTTTTATCTTATGAAATACTTGCAACAGGGTTGATACCTTTGAAAAATGACAGGCATGCCTGTTTACAAAAACACATGCATCACAAAATTTGACAGTATGTGTACCACAGATGTAGTAGTCCAAATCTTCAAATTCACTTTCAGAATCAGAATGGATATCTAGATGATCCTCAAATTCGGTGACATCTTCTTCTTCCACATCGCTGTGTGCCTGACTCTCTTCAAATATGAGCTCCAAAGCTCTCTGACAGCTAAATCTTTTTGTCATACTGAGGGTGGAAGAATCTGTACTGTGATGCAGTGGTATTTATCTTTTTTGTCCCCCCCTTGATGGGCAGGTGTGAGGAATATAGTGCGAGAAAATTGATGTATCAAATGTTATGGACAATCATTCGAAAAAAAGGGGTTTACAGGTGGACACATGAAAGAGGGTGCGGGAAAGAGTGGGAAAGAGTTCGGGAAAGTGAGAGCAAACAGCTTCTCACTGCTTAGATTATAATAATGCAACATTATGTGTGTGTGTGTGTGTGTGTGTGTGTGTGTGTGTGTGTGTGTGTGTGTGCGCGCGCGTGCGCATACAAGCATGCGTGTGTGTGTGTTTGTGTCTGTGTGTGTCTGTCGGCATGTTTCTGTTTGTCTGTGTGTCTTGTGGGCATGTTTTTGTGTGTCTCTGTGTATGCGGGTCAATTTGACCCGAAGACCATACGAAGGATGTAAATGTGTGGGGTATAGTAGCATGTGTGCTCAAATATTTTTTTTTGTTTATACATGTTCATCACAGAAAATAAGGTAAGGCCATTGAGTTTCAGGTAGAAAAAATGTATACTCGTACCATTTTTCTTATTGTAAAAATTTGAAACGGGTCAATTTGACCCGAAGACCATACAAGGGTTAAAGCCCCTGAAACTGCTTTAAAAGTCTCCCAAAAACAGCTTTAAAACCCCAAACAACTGCTTTAAAGCCCCCAAAACACCTTTAAAAGTCACAAAACAGCTTTAAAGCCCTCAAAACAGCTTTAAAAACTTCTTTTAACAGCTTTAAAAGCCCCCAAAACAGCTTTAAAAGCCCCTAAAAACAGCTTTAAAGCCCCCAAAAACAGCTTTAAAACCCCCAAAACAGCTTTAAAAGCCCCTAAAAACAGTTTTAAAAGTTACTAACAGCTTTAAAGCCCTCAAAACAGCTTCAAAAGTCACCAATCAGAACCAAAAACATTACTATTTGGCAACAAATTAAAGTGTAGAAACATGGATTTGTCTGAGAATATGAACTTGATTTGTAAGTCAATCAACAAATGACTAAAAAATATATAAAAAACGGCATTGCATGCTTAATTACTTCATAAAATGCGAGCAGTCTATAATTATGACATTTCTAATCAAGTCATAGCAACTTGGGACTCATTATGCCTACAGAAATAACCGTTCTATTGGCATATTTGTCGACTTTGATCATACAGAGAAGCAAATACATGTACAAAAAAGCAGGTTTTTATTTATGTCTGACTATATTATTTATTATTGTTATATGGGAGGTTTTGAAAGTATAAATCAGTGTACTGAGAGCGTATAAACACAAAAACAAGAGGGGAAAATGGTCACTTACTTCCCAGAATCATCGAAGCAGACCTCGGTGTGTCCCTCCGAGTGCCCGTAGCGCATCGGCTTCCTCTCACAAGGCATTTTCACAAACCACCGGACTAAACACAAGAACAAAATCACCTCTAACATATGAAACCTAACCGCTGCATGAACACTGTGGCAGCTTTATGCGGCACCACCCCGAAATAGCCCCCCATCTCTGGCCAAAGAGAAGCTAGCGGAGCGGTCAAGCTAACGCTCAAAGTTTATCAAAATAGGACAACGGAAGATATTTCACGCTTCAGCCGGGTTACAGAAGCAAATGGTAGCCTCGTGATGGGTAAAGAAAAATAACTATGCTCTAAAATCCGGGTTTTATCGGACTACTTACAACTTCTTCGCCAGACCGCTTCACCGACAGCTCGTCCGGGTCTCCCGCGCCGAGTTGAAAACAAGGAAACGCTGCGTCACAACTCCCGCCAGCTACGTGATGACGTAGCACC